TAAATAACTTATTACCTATTGAAACACAATTGAACGGTGATTTGACAACCTCTTTGATTCAAGATCAAGAAAAATGGAAAACGTATCTCAACGTAGGAGGTGACGCTTACGCTTTTAGCAAGTTAATCGGACAAAACAAATACAATGAAGTTAACGCTCAAGCTGATCAAAGAACCATTAGCGAAACTTTAAGAACCATGAGAAATTTAAAAAAATATGTTCCTCAAGAAGAAAACAATTCTCTTAATCCTATGCCTCCTAATTCTGTACAATCAAGTTTAAATAATTTATCACAAAAAACTACTTTAAATACTATTCAACCTACTAACAAAAAAGTTTATCTTTTAACTCCTCTTAATCGATTTTTAACTTTTTACGAAAAACCTAACGAGGCAGAAGTAACCAAACTCATGGCAAATTTAGCTAGATCAAATATGGCTAAATTAGCTCGTAATTTATTAGACATGTGTAAAAATCAAGTCAATCACACTTTTGGTTCAAATCACATTTCTTTACGCGTTTATAAACCTAGAGGTGAAGAAGCAACATTAAACAATTTAAAAATATACATTCAATTTATGAATAACGTAGTAGACGTTGAAGAATCTTTAGCTAGCATTATAAACAACGTTAACGCAACTTCTTACGAACTCATTAATGATCCTAAACAATATTCTTATTACGCTAACGAATTTTTAACTTTACTTGCTTCACCTCAAAGCGTAGGCAATTTAAGAATGGTTGCAGATTATTATCAAATTAAACATCTTACTTTTGCTAAATTGTGGAATTATTTAAAAAAATATAATATACCTTTTAGAAACGAAAACAAACTGACGTCAGAAAGCGCGTATCAAGAAACCTTTTCAAGTCGTCCTTATACTGTAATGACTTCAGCCTTTTTTGAAAGCGATTCTTTAGTAGACAAAAGTTTTTCGGGAAATATTGCTTTTGATCTTTTATCTGAAACAAAAAATATTGTCAACACGTGGTTAAAACAATACACAGAACAATTTAAAGGTTACAACTTTAACATTTTAACCGATTACATCAAATCGAACAGCGTTTACATGCTCGACAAAAATATTTATAATTTAATGATTAACAATTACAACGAAAACGCGATGCAAAGTATATCAATCGGTGAACACATGTTAAACCTTACATTTAAAACGTTTTTTGCAAATCCACCTTCTTTACCATATAGAGATGTAGACGACGTAGTACAATTACAAGACAACGTAGTAACCGCTTGCATACAAGCAAACATGCAAGATTTTTTAGAACAAATTAAAAGCAATTCGAATCAATTTTATAATACAGAAATCAACGTTAAACAAAAAACAATCATCGAAATGATGATGATAATGGGTTCTTTATACAGTTCTCAACTCTTTCGATTGAATACTCTTTTATCGGCATATAAAAAATGTTTTGAAATTCAATCTAATAATTTTAACGAAATTAAAAATTTTGCATTAATTTTAAAATCAGTCACTTCATTAAAAACAAATAATTTGTTTGTACAACCAAAAGTTGATATCAACCTTTCTCCTGTAAAGAAATCTTTTTTTTCAAAAAAATCTGTATTACCTACTCCTGAATCTTTAGTTGATACACCTCAATCTAGTTCTAAAGATAAACCTTGGTTAGAATCTACTCCAAAAGAAGACTCTTGGTTATATAAAGAAGAAAAACCTGTCGGTGCTACTGCTTTGCCTACGGAAGAAAAACCTATCGGTGCTACCGCTTTACCTACTGAAACTACACCATTTACTAGTAAAGATATAAAACCTAAAACTAAAAACCGATTAGAAAGAAAATATCCGACAGGAAAAAAAGCTCTTTAAAAAATGGAAGACGCATTAAGAGATAAAATAGATCGTCTTATTGAAATTCAACTTGACGATTTATCCAGTCGATTATTTGGATTAACCAATTTATCAAAAATTAAAAAAATAATGTCACAATTTAACACATTGAAAAAAAATGTCAGCGATTTAAAATTTTATGAAAAACTTAAAACAATTTTAGAAAATTCAGTTTTTGCTAAATGGGACGGTATGATTACTGCTTGGTCGCATCAAACACTTCTTTTTAAAAAAACCGCTAACGCAAACGTTAAAAAACAAGCACCGAGAAAACCGTACGTTTACGAAACGCATCGGTTTTCTTACGATAAACCTCATCAATATTTTCAAGCCGATTTGGCAGACATGGAGAGTTTTAATTTTAATCCTGGTTATCGTCCCGATTATTGTTTAGTGGTAGTTGACGGTGTTTCGGGTAAAGTGTATTTGAGAGTAATGAAAAAAAAGACTGCAGAAAAAACGGTCAGCAGTTTTAGACACATTTTCAAAGACATTAAACGAGACGACGACAAAAGTTTTATATATTTGCAAACAGACGAAGGTACAGAATTTTTTAATTCAAAAATGAAAGAATGGTGCGAATCCGAAAACGTACATCACTTTCATTCTAAAAATTACGGAAAAGCCTACTTAGCTGAATCGGTCATTGGTCGTTTAAAACTGTTATATCAAAAATTAAGAGATAAAGGTAAATTAAAAAAAAATAATTGGAATTATTACATTGAAGAAATGGAACAAAAATTAAACAAAAAAGAAAAAACATCGAGCGGTATAAGTCCCGAGGAATTGGATGCCAATGACAATAAAGGTAAAGCTCTTCGTATGATTGATCAATACGTAAGCAACAAAAAACGTAAACATGACTTTACATCCAACATGTTGCATCGCGTAGAAAAAGAATACAAAAATCAAAAATTAAAAATATTAAAACCTTTGTCTATTGGAACAGAATGTTATTTAAGAAAATACAAAAAAGATGCTAAAGATACTTTTAGCAAATCGAGTACACGAAACCGTCCGTATTGGGACACAACAAAACGTGTCATCATCATGAAAGTCAGCAAACGCACAAACCCTTCAGTACAAGGTTATTTACCGGTTCATATTTACAAAGTAGGACAAGTTGGCGATTTAAATACAACGTATAAAGTCAAGAGAGAAGATTTGTTACCTATTAACGAAGAAGATAAAAACATTTATTTTAAAAACTTTAACGAATACGTAGACACTTTTTATTAACCTTTAAAGAAATCTTTGCAAAAAAAAATTATTGTAAAAAAAAATGAATAATTTAGTATTTGATGATGTTTTAGATGTAAATAAATATGATTGTAGTACGTATTTTTTTAGCGAAATTAAAAGTAAAGAACAAGAAAATGTTCATTATAACGTTTTGAACGATTTTAGTTTACCCTTATCTTCTAACGATCTAGATAAACCTTTTTTTAAAAATAATACTATTATGCATTTATCATCTATGGACGTTCCAACTAATTTAACGCGCATAGACGAAAACATTTCGTTAACAGAAAACAGCTACGGAACAAGAATGCAAATGAATCCTTCTATAAAACAAATGATGATAGATATTCAAAACGACATGATATCTAATCCCAATCGAAAAATTCCTTTTTATCTTGTAACTAAAAAAATTATTTTGTATACCGATTTTGCTGTTTTGCCAGGAGACACGTTTCAAAATTATGATCTATTAAAAGTTGAACATATGGACGCAGTTCATTTGGAATTCATGTGTTCAAATATAGGTTATAGTAAACTGTTTGGTACAACGTCTCCGAGTCCTTATCAAGACGATTTCTTAATTAGACGATTAGAGCTTTTTAATACCACTTTAAACAGAAGATTGACTTTTGCAGATTTTTTTTCAAATTATCAATATACAAAACAAAAATATTTCAATTTAAAATATTTATTTGACACCAATACACATTTACGTTATGTTACTAATAACGAAAATACTATCATTTCAAAATTAAGTATAGAACCAAACGGAAATGTTAAACAATATATACAAAGTTATTCTTACATTAATGCACCTAATTATAATTTTGTATGGTATTTTAAAAAAAAAACTAACGAAAACATAAACAACCCTTCTAATCTTTATCCTATAAGGTCTAGCATTTCTACTAAATCAAACGAACGAGGATTATCTTATTTTGGTTTTTTTTCAAACCGAACAAATGCATCACAATACGTAGTACAAGATTTTACATCGTTAATACAATATGATTATTTATCTTCTAAATCAAGGTATGATAACTTGTACAACTTTGCATTATCTACTCAAACAAGCAAAAATTTCATGATTTACGTAAAACATCCACTAGTAATGGCAGCCGACGTAGTTAATCTTTCACCAGAAAGAGCTGTTATTTTAAATAATACAGAAGAAACTTTTGTTCGTCCTTTTATTCATATCATGGTAACACCTAAATTCAAAACATTAAGTGCGACAGCTCTACCGGATACAAGTGATTCTAATATTTTAAGTGTTGATTTAGATGTTTATGTTAACAATTTATTACCAAGTACAGAAAGTGTAAAAACATCTAAAATGAAACACATTGTTCCTTGGCAAATTGCTTTTTTTTTATTAAAAATAATGACAAACACAAACACAATAAAATCTGAGGGTAACATATACAATATAGAAACTGATCTTAACGAAATTCCAATCCAAATTAACGCTTTATGGAAAATTTGGAACGATCAAGTTAACGTTAAAGACGCTAACAACAACTATACAGAAGAAAAAATAAGGTTTACTAATTTTAAAACCATTATACAAGCAGCTTTTACTATTGGAACAAAGATACTATACGTAGGTCCAGAAGGCCTTGGCGTAGAGCCTACAGAGTTCCTTGCTTGCTTTATTCAAATCTTTTTTCCAAAAACAAATCAAAGAAAATATTATCGATTTACTTTACAAAACATACCGCTAGCTTCTTTACCTATACCTTTTTTTAACGTCGACCAAATCATATGGCCTGAACGTGAATTAAAAATGATGGATATTTTTACAGAAAGTATAAATTACAACTTGTCAAACAATTTACTTAATTTAAAGTTAAATAATCTTACTTTTAACGAATTTATTTATGAAGGTGCTAATGTCTACTCTTATCAAAAATTTCTCAATCAATACAATTTTTCATCCATTCCTAACGATTATTATAAAAATTATTATACTTTTTGGTGTTTACCTTCATTTGAACAAAATACACACGAAATCAATTTAAAATCACCATTACAAATTTCTAAAGCTATAATTGCTTCAACAAATACATATAACAATTATTTTGAAATGAAAGGAAACCAAATTTCACCGTATCATGCTCAATTTGGTTCTCTCATCACTTTTATTACATCTCCTTCTAATTTACCCGAAGACATTTATAAAATAATAACGGCAGATTGGTCATTGATTGCTAAATACAATTCAGAAACATTTATCGAAGTTTTGATGTACTGTGAACAAACTAAACCTATTTTTTCTCCAACTTTAAAAGTACCTCTTGTGACTACCGCAGCTTTTGAAAGAGCTACTACACCTAGTTATAAAACATGGTTAAACGGATCAAAATCTATATTGCAAGGTAACAACATTAACGAATTGGTATTTTATTGCACTTCGCTTAACGGACAACTTATTTATCAAAAAAAAAGTGACGGTACTATCATAAATTCTTGGTCAAATAGTTTACCATTAAAAAATATTATTTTAAAAATGTATCAACCCATTGGAAACAATCCTGTACCTTATACATTGCTATTACAAAGAGATCAATACAGTTTGACAAACGAAATAAATCCATTTAATATAGAAATAGATCAAAACATGGTTTATACCATGGATCAAGATTTTAAAATTCAAAAAAGGAAACTTGCTTTTTTAAGATGTACTTTGATGCAAATAAGTAACTTTAATAATTCTGTATCTAACTTTCCTACTACTACCGACAACCTTATCTTTATTAAATGCGATCAAGCTACTAATTGTGGAATGTACATGAACAGAAGATACGAAACGGGTATTGTTTCTTATTTTAATTTGTCAGATTATAACAATGCTACTCAAGTAACAGTTAATATTGATTTTACTAAAAATCGTAAAACAGAAATACAAGGTCAATTAACAACGTTTGATATTGTTGACGTAGAAGATTGGAAAAAAACAAAATGGTCTTTTTTGAACATTAATAAAGAACCGCTTAAATTTAACAATTTAAGTTCTACTGTTTTTTTTAATCCTACTTTGAAAATTCAAATGGTACCATTTTACAATTAACTATTTTTTTTAAAAAAAAACAGTCTACCGGAATTGACGTTATGAAAATAATAATCTTAACCTTTTACATTTGTATAAAAGAAAGTGTTTTAATTTAATTAATATAAATTTTGTTATAAAAAGATGTCTTTTTTTAATTTTTTTTAAAAAATTTTTTTTTAAAAAAAATGTCTCTTTTTCCAGCAAGAGGAAGATATGAAAGAAATTTAATAAACGAAAAAATACCTGAATTAATGAATCCACATAATAGTGAAATTAATGAAATTCAAAACAAATTTTGCAATCTTCAAAATCAACTGTCTCATTTTTCAACTAAAGCAGACGTTCTTCGCGTCAAATCAGAATTGGATGAAAAATGCGAACAATTGAAAAAATTAAAACAACAACAACAAAATAAACAAAACACTTATGAAGAAAAACCTAAAAAAAATATTATAAAAAAAAACGAAATTGAAAAACCAAAACGTAAAAAAGTAAAATATTCAGAAGAAGAAAGTGAAAGTTCTGAAGAAGAATATGTTGAAAAAAAACCAACAAAAACTAAAGTCGCGTTAAATTCGCACGTATGTGCTCAATGCGTTCAAGAAGTTAAAGCTGTAGACGCTATTCACGGTTTATGCAGAAACTGTATTATTCAACAAAGAGCTATTTTATCCAGTCCTTTTAT